AATATATGATTCAAACCTAATCAAAGATACAGAATCAATTGAACATAAAATAAACATAAGTCTATCCAATGAAAATATGGATTTAGCTATTAAATTAAACTGGCAAATCCTTTACAATAAATCAATGTATGCAATCAAAATATCATTTGACAATTCAACAAAAGAAATACATCTATTTTATAATCTAAAAATTGACAAATGAAGATAACGGTAATAGATTTGAAATTTGTTTTTGTTTTATACTGAAAATCGAGCTGTTATATTTTTATTAAATAACAATTATTTCCGAATGAATATTTATAAATGAACTTTTTTTCTTATATTTCTAGATCGAACTGTTTTTATTTATTCTTTTTTCTTTCAAAACGAAACAAAAATATCTTTATTTCAGAGAAAAAAAAATATTCATCGATATCAAAATGGGATCCAACACATCACAATCAATAGCAGAATTAACTAAAGAAGATATAGAATTTATTTCAAATGTAACAAAACTTGATCATGAAAACGTTCGACTTTGGTATAGCAAACTTATGGTTTGTCTTGTTTTCATTTTGATTTATTCATAATATTGATGAATTTCAATATTTAGGCTGCTTGCCCAGATAGAAAAATTTCTAAGGCAGATACAGTAAATTTCTTACGAAGTATAAATTCAGGTAAAGACGAACAACTTCAAAAACAAGCAAATGAAATTCATAAAGCATTTGACGAAAATAATGATGGTATTGTTGGTATGTGTTAAGTTTTGATCGAATAAAGAAGGAGATCGATCCGCCTACAGATATATAATTTATGAGCCAGTTCAGTGTTGCAACGGGTAAGGTTTTTTTATAGACTGGCATCGACACTGCTCGAAAGCAGTCAGACCGGACCAGACCGGCCGGTAGACCGTCATGAGTCATATCTTACACTAAATCACTACACTAATTACTGGGCATGGTCCGTGAACTGCATAATAAAGTTGCCAAAAAGGAAACAACAAAGACTCCACACTTCAGCTTACTTAAAGACTAGGTCAAAGTTATTTTTTTGTAAATTCTTAACTATACAGAGTCGAGTATTGACATTTGTCTGGAATGTATTAGTTTTTGTTCATTTCATATAAGATTGTCTGATAATAAAGACACAATACTTCACTTGGCTCCAGTATTACTTAAACCATCAGAAGCTATTAACTTTTTGGAGTTTAATATCATATAGCCTGAAATAAAATAGATTCAAAGTATCATACTCTTGTTACATGTTGATAGTAGAATAGAAACACACATGAAATCGTCCAAAATGGAAGTAAATATGTCATAAATTATAATGACGAACGGTGGTTTCATTTGTTTTCTATCATAGAACCTGATAGTGAAGTGACTAGATAAAATATGTGAGGTGTATTTTCATGAATATTGACTTATTATAAACGGTCTACTACATTTTTCTTTGCGGACTCTGTCATGGACACTAGTAAACCTTGACCGTTTTCCGGTATTGGTTGCAACACTGAGCCAGTTCATATAAGTCACGACTGAACTTGCTCAATTCAGATTATCGGATTTTGTTCAATTTAAGATATGTTGTAGAGGGAAGAGTTGTAAGAGTTTTGACGCAAACTGTTTGAAAAAATATTGTTCGATTTTCGAGATATTGAAATTTTTCTGAAGGTACTATGTCAACAAAAGCATACTTTTTATGATTTTTTTGTTACACTTATATCTTATCAAGGATATATAGATTTGACTTGAAATTTTTACTGTGAGTAGATATCATAATTCTGTGTTACAGAAAAAAAATGAGCCCAAATGGATGAACTATTGACGAGTTAACAAATACCACCAGTACACGTTTACTCTAATGAAAAAAAATCAGCTCTCTGCACAGTTTCTGTTATTCAGGAGATCTTCGAGAAAATGAGGGGCGCAAAAAATCCTTTTTTTATCTGCATAAAGATTGTATATTTTCGGGATGAAAACCTACCAAATCCTACGTAAGTTTTGGTAAATATGGTATCAGTATTAAATAGAGCGAATAAAACTGATTATAATTAACACAAAGATTTGACTGGATTTGGTAGTTTTCATCCGAAAAATTGACAATGTTGATGTAGATAAATACTGATCTGTTGCATCCCTGATTTTTTGTGGAAGATCTCCTGAACAACAGGAACTGTGTTGAGAACTGAATTTTTTATTAGAGTGAGTGTTCAATGAGATCTTTTCATAGCCAAAATTTCAATTCTCTAACGTAATCCGTTCATGAGATATGTGCAATGTGAGTCAGAAATGTCGTATCACTTGTTTATTTTGAGTCATGTATTAAAACTACACAGCATTAGTTTAATTTGATTACATGCCTGTATAGTAGAGGTTAAGTACCATATAGATATGTATACACGTATTTCGTACGAAAAACTCTTGAATATAAAATATGACAAGAACAAACAAACTTCAATACTGAAAAAAAAATGACATAAAAAATATAAAATGATATTATTCTTATAAGTTCCAGTGGTTTCAGTAAACTGCAATTCAAAAATCAAGTAATATTTTTTTCCTTTGATATTTCTACATGGTTCGGTAGAGCTCGATTATATTTTTTATATGAAAAGTCGACAATTTGTTTTTCATATAAGAAAAGACAAATTTTTGTACATTCTTTGCGTAGTTTTTTGTAAATTTATTCCAAAAAAAAGAACTTTAAAAAAAAATTCAATATAGACAGTTTTGTCTATCGAATCATGTAAAAATATCAAAGAAAAAAAAATGTTACTTGATTTTTAAATTACTTGCACTTTACTGAAACCACTGGAACTTATAACAACAATATCATTTTATATTTTTTATGTCATTTTTTTTCAGCATTGAAGTTTGTTTGTTTTTGTTGTATCTTATATTCAAGTGTTTTTCGTACGAAGCAGGTGTATATATGTATAGTACTTGATCTCTACTATACAGGCACGTAATCAAATTAAATTGATGTTGTATAGTTTTAATACATGACTCAAAGCAAAAAAGTAGTACGAGACTTTTCACTCACAGTATATGATCACTTGCGGAACTAGTTTTCATATAATTTGATAATACTTTTTGAGCGCTTTAAAAGAGTACAAAAATATCGAGGAATAAACTCTAACTACACAAAGATATTCCAAGGTGACTATTCTTGATACATGATTTTATGGGTTTTTTTGATTGGTATTTAGCAGATTTGGATTAGAAAAATACAATTTGGATGATAGATTATTCTGAATCAGCATCTAAAACTGAGTGGACGTACGCGTATATCAAAAATTTTTTTTCGTCGAAAAATCCAATCCTGGTTCTCCTATCAATGAATTTCATCCAAAAATTATTTTAACAATGAGAATCAAGTTCTAAGAGTATAAAACGATAGTAAAGCTTCAAATAACAGATGAGTAAATAATAAGAACAGAATCTTCATGCAATTCACGTAACTGCAGTCAGTTTTGAATGCTGGTTCAGAATATCATATTAGTTTTATTCAAATCATATTTTTTTAATTGAAATCCACTAAACACAGGGTGATCTATAAATAGCTTTACGATAAAAAATTTGAATATCTTCGCTACAGCTCAGTCGAAAAGGCTGATACTTTGGTTAGTGATAGACGTTTATTCAAAGATTTTTTTTTCTTCATATGAATAATATAAACAAATACTTGTATTAAATATTATTCTTAGCCTCACTAAAGAAATTTTACTTGTTGATAAGTAAGAAAAATACATGTGAAGGATTCGATAGATAATTTTTAGTTGTCATCTATAAGAGAATAACAAAATTAAATCAAAACAAATTTTATGAATGATATAACATTAATGCATATAGAGCAAATTTAGAGAACACTGATTTTTTTTTGCAAAGAAGTTGGCGATTCAGTGTCAAAAGAACTTCAGTTTTACATTTTAGTTAGTGAACACGAATTCTAGCATCTAAACTAATAACACTTAACACAAATATTTGTTTACATTACTCATGTGCAGAGAAAAAAAACTTTGAATAAACTTCTACCACTAACCAAAGTATCAGTCCATTTCACTGAGCTGCAGCAAAAATATTTAAATTTTTTATCGTAAAGCTACTTATGGACCACCCTGTACAAAAAAAACAAATCATAAAACTGTCTAGAAAAGAGTGTCCTTGGAATTATATTGTGTGGTCGGTGCTTTTTCCACGATATTTTACATCACTTTAAAGCGCTCGAAAAGCGCTATAGAACTATATAAAAAGTAGCATGGTTGGCGATAAGATTGGTTGATATTGACGCAAGTTTTCAGTAGGCAATACTAGTACCACAGGCATATCAGGACAATGTGTTTCCTGAGAAGTCGTACTGACCAGTGTTTTTGTCTTCGATGTTTTTGTAGAATTTTCAATCGACTTGGACACATCATAAATAAATCCTATATAACTAACTCTACGAAGACTCACTTTCGGACATCTTACGTGATAGCTTGATATAGAAGAAATTAAACTTCTTTAGGGAACTATTTTCAACAGTGTTTTGGAGAGCGAACCAGAAAAAGTGTTGAAGTATATGAGGCAGAAATTTGAATCCATTTCCCTTCTCTAGACCATGATGGGCACTTTGGTAATTCTCTTTTTGAAGGTGCAAATAACAGCTATGTTGTGTTTCATATTTTAATCTTGCAGAAATTATCCTAGCATCTTTTTTTTTTCCTATATTTACCTATTAGATCAACGTGAATTTTTAATTGGTTTTGCATTAACTTCTAAGGGTAGTATACATGAAAAGCTTAAATATGTTTTTCGAACATATGATCATGATAAAGATGGTTTGATTAGTAAAAAAGAAATTGATCGGATGATTAAAGTAAGTAAAAAATTAATTTTGTTTTTGTTTATTTAACTTCATTTTATTATAGATTGCAATGAGACTTCATGGAAAAGAGGAACGAGAAAAAACTACGCGTACTATTAATGAATTAAAACGATCACTTGAACGTCTTAATCAAGGCAAAGATCTCGATCATTTAAAAATAACTTCAGAAGAGTTTATTCAATTATTAATGGAAAATAAAGAACTATGCAAATTAGTATCACCGTTCAATATTGAACAACCATGAGAGGTCACGGATCAACAGCCACACGCTCAATCAAAATAGAATAAAAATGCAAAAGTGATATCCAATATAAACTATAAAAACAACCGTGATATACATATATATGGGGATAATCAGTCTAACAGGATGTTCCGACTGTTCTTTTAACATGTAGATTTTATAATACATTAGAATGATAGGATTTTTTTTTACCCATTATAGCATTCATATACTAAGTGAAAAAATCTTATCATTCTGATATATTATAGATAGAACCCACATGTTAACAAAACAATTGCGACATCCGACCAGACTAACCATCCCCATATATATATATATTTGCTTTATCTTTTTTTTTAATTTTGTTCTCTATTAATAATAATCATATAACTTATCACGTTTCCTATAGGTCCTGTTTTTTTTAATATGCACACTTCTGTGTATACGTGTTGTATTTTTCAGTCAATTTTTCTTTAAATTCTTACGCATTCTTCTCAAATTGATAAGCAAAGATAATTTTATCTTATAAATAAACATTTTATGAAGAAAAAAAATGTAACATGACTAATTCCTGCTCAAAACAGCCTTACTTAAACTCTGTACTCCTGTCAAAAATCTATTTTTGTCGCAGAACGACCGATCTAGCTGCAAATTTCAGGAAATGTGGGTCCTGACTTAGGAAGCTTACAATAAAAATTTCAGTCTAAAATATTGAGTTGTTCAAAAATTTAGGTTAACATCAAAATATACCCAACACACTCGCCATTACACCTTAACAGAGCCAAAATTTTTCAATTCTTTATCATTTTTTTTGGTGTTAGTTTTTCAAAAAACTAAGTCAAAATAGTAAATGGAATACATCAATCGTAGGCTACCATTTGTTATCAATTATGCCGGATCAAACAAAGACTTGCGCGTACTTGTAGAATGTGTAATAATTTGAATCTAGAATAGAAACACATATGACGTATGAGTGTGGTTATTCATGTCATCCATTCACAATCCGCCTTACCTATTCACATTCACACTAACAATATCAGCTACTTAAAGAGACAGAAGATGAGAAGAAGAAGAAGATAGGAATCATTATAAACGTGAAATAATGATGTCGAAGAAAAAGAAGAGATGCATACTTATGTCAGAAGGCATCTCTTCTGGCTAAATACTATCAAAATAATGACATAATTAAATGAGTACTGATAAGTAAAAATTGATTTTTTTTCATGAAAATTACGATCTTTGAGAGGGAGAGAGAAGCTTAAGCATTAAAAAAAAATGATTTCTTTAAAGGTATCACTTTATTTATTTTGAATATGTACATAATCTCTGACAATTGAACAACTTATCAGATTAAGAAAAGTCTAGAGCAGAGTTGGAATTAGATCAATCGTTTGGTGTCAGTTTTTGTATCAAATTTTAGGATACTAAAGTTACACTCTAATACAATCGGTTTATTACAGAACCAGCACCCAGAGGAAGAACCTTTGAGGTTTTGTACAAACGTACCGAATCTAAAAAAAGATTTGAACGAGTTCATGTAACCATTTAAGTTAGATGAGTCTGTATAAGACCTCTAAGGTTCTTCCCTCGGGTACAGATTCTGCAATAAACCGATTGTTTTTTTTAGAGTGGAGTCTATTTTGCTCCTTCTTATTGATTATCATGATTTTAACAATCGAGAAACGTAAACTTGAAAATCTTCAACTGACAAATTTCTAGTCATAATCAAAATACCAACTCTAAGTACCAGCTATCAGAAATTAAATTCGGTCTAAAGTAAAGATTTTCCATCACCATAATTTCGGGCTCATTTTCTGAACTATTTTTAACTGTCTATCAGAAACCCTTGATGGCTGATAGTTTCTACTTCATCCTTTTGATAAAAAAATATTAGAAAAGATTCTATTCAATTGACAAAGTTAGTGATGTCAACTAGTATCATTATATAACTGTGAAAACATCAAAGTATTAAGAAACCTAAATATATGAAGTCTAGTATAAAACCGTACTTTTAGAGGTCATTCTATTATCCTCTCGACAGTAGTAGTAGCATTTTAAGAGTCAAGAAATCTTTCAGTTGTGTTAAACCAAGACTTCAGATACGAATAGATCAAAATATTTATATCTTGTAAAGATATCATATTTTTACTAGAAGAAGTCAAGTCAAGCAAACCAGAAAGCTTATTCTACATCAGCCATTGTAAGTTACTACTTGAAAAATTTTCTAACAATTCTTCTATCGTTCTTAGTATTAGCATATATGAAATGTGACAAACTAAAGTAGAAGTTATTATAATTAGAAACTTTAAGAGTTATATGAGTTTCACATTGTATGTCTTCATGTATCCGCAATAATAATTTTTTCTCGATCGAACGAGTTATTTAATTAATATAATGCATTCTATTCTCCCTTCTTGATTAGTGAAGTGACCATTTGTAGAACGATTGCATACAATAAAGTAAGACTTTGAAAATAAGTCTTGTAGTGAAAACTTAATAAGTTTGAAAAAAATCGCCAAAGTTGGAGGTTTTTAAATAAAAACTTTTTCTACTAACAAACAAGATATATGAGGAAAATGTATGGTGTATTGTATAACGATGACAATGTCGACTATTGGTATCAATATCATTCGAAAGTTTCACAAAGACTAGGTAGAGAACATATAATAAAATATGGAATGGTCACTAAAGATTTTTCAGCACCTACAATTCGCCCGTAAAATTTGCTCACATCATACGAAATAATACAACAACTCATTATTTACAAAATGCGATGTTTTTGAGCCATCTACGACGTTTTTTTGTCGAACTATATCAGATTTATGGAAGACTTTAGATAGAATTTTTGTCAAGTCATTCTCCTCCAAAGATCACTAGAATGTGTCTGATTGATCTGTTCATGCTATCGATATATTGGAGATACCAATATTCTTTTCCAGTGGTTGTTTTATTAGTGACTCTTCTGAAATCGATATCGAGGGTAAAGAACTAAACAGATGGATTTTTCATCGATTTCGTTCAGGATTAAGGAATATTTAGATATTATGGTTTTAAAAAATAGATTTAAACGCAACCGTTGGATCAACTCTATTAATTTTATTTTCAGAAGGTTTCTTGATGAGTCATAAAGTAATCAAGGACATATAGGATATATATAGTAGCATTTTTTTCCTTTTTCTTTGATTCGATTCTAAATGTGTTATGTTTCTCTTGAAAATGATGTCTAAAAACATCGAAAGCTTGAGTTCTTAGTAAGTTCGTAAATTTCTATTGTATTTTTTTTTTGAGTTTATTTACTAAATACTTAATAAAATGTTAATTGATGCTGTGCAAATCGATTTTATACATTCTACGCTTAAGCCGATATTGAAGTTGCATGAACAAGATGGAAATATATCAATTTTTGTTATACTTTCATAAATTAGTCTATCATGACATAGTGGCTAAAGTTTGTTTTTATCTATATAGGGATGTCTTTTCATCTAGAGTTTTTTAAAATGTGCAAAAATGATAGATGAAATACTTTGTCATTTACAGTCGCACATAGAAAACAATCGAGAGCATGTTTATATGTATTGAATTTTATTATAATTTACATTTTTAAAAAGAAAATGTTTTATAAAAATGTCTTTTCATCAAATGCTTATAAATATCTCAATTCAAGAACTAAACATGCTACAAAAATCATGTATTTCAAGCTTGTCTATGCATTTCAGTACTAATTTAAGCTAGAGAATTCAAGCATTCGAAAATCAAAGTCGTGATTCCTTATCTTAGTTCTATCAAAAGTTATTCAAAAAGTATCCACTCGCCTTTTGTGAAACACAATCTAAAAGGAGTGTCGAAGTACATAGTGTAAAAATTTGTATTTATTGTTACTTCCTCTACTCCTATTGATTTCGATAGACGTTGTTAATATACAATCAAAGATCGAATATCAAAAACGTCTCGTTATAATATATGAAGTGCTTCCTTATTGTATTTTTAAAGAATGAAGTAAAAAGATGATGAAGAAATGTGCCCCAAAATACATAGAATAAAAGCTTGTGAGCATAGCCTCTGTGTGGCTGAAATGTGGAACTCATGTGTACCCTATGACTTAGCTTCTCTTTCAAAAGTGGCTTCTATTGTTTAACGTTATAAACTTTAAAGTTTGCATAGAGTAAAATCATTCATTTATACTGCGTATTTCTGCCAAAAAATTCTGTTAAGGATATTCAATAGTAATTATTCAGATCTGTAATGAAAGATTGCCTGCAATGTGGGACTGTCTTTTATGGAAGTTTTCTGTAATAGGGAGGACTGGGTAGGGAAAGAGAAGCCGCCAAAACTTCAACTTAAAACTGACACTCACTATTTTCTTCGAGAATATATGTGAGTTCTGCAAAATAAAAGGAAAGATATATCAATCGATATACGTTCTTTTGTTGAAATCTATGTAAATCTACAAAAATTGATAATCATTATTTTTATAGTACATGATAACATTAAGAACGATAGTATATATCGAAAAAATGATAATCGGTAATGGTAAAGCAGGAACACCATTCCTTTGTCATATTGACCAACATAAATACTTATTATACATTCGGATGCTACTAAGGTCTTTCTTGTTATTGACCAAAATCATTATATTAAAGATAGAGAAATCGCTAAAGACAAGAAAAAGACGATTTTCATCGATCTTCTCATAATCAAATTTGACCTCATTAAAATCTAGTTCAGTATTTATGTTATCTTTGAAGTTGTTATGTTTATTATTTTCTTTATCTCTGTTAATATCAGTAACATCGTTGTGTATAGTACGCACTAAATAAATATGAAATAGAAGATCAATTTATCATTACATCGTGTACATCTTGATTAGAATGAAGAAACACAATACTATATTATTTTAATAGAAAAGCAAGATATAAGATTATAGTTTCATTGAATTTTATTCATAATAATTAAAAACATATTTTGCTGAATACTAATGAATGTATATACTTCTCATGATAAGCATTAAGATATAGTTACTAAAA